GAAAAGCTAATCTTGTGAGGTGTTGGGCATGGTGAAATACATCAATCAAACCTCCTGAGTCCAAAACTGTAATTAGATCTCAAATCAGTCAAGAGATGATGGAGCTACAAACTAAAAGTTTGTACTTGAAAAAAAACCAAAAGCTCAGAGCCATTCTATTAGCTGCTATGCCATGGCTATAAAGTATCACAATTATACATTGTTTGAATAACATAAACAAAAATAATGCTCAATAATGATTTCATTCGTCCATTCACCTATCATACTTGCCATGTTGCCAAACAGTAAGCTTAACTAACGTTATTTGGTAAACATAGTAAAAAAAACTCAGGTTTACAAACATTACAACTCAATAAAACTCACTAGTATGTAATAGTCTAATTGTTGCTCTATCCATAATATCCAATCATGTTTAACCTTTCTTTATATTCACTTTTCATTAGTAAATGAATAAACCACTTAATGTGGTAAAATAACAAGACTTCAACAAGATCCAAGAGCTGTACAAAAACTATAGGGAAAATCTTGAAAACAAGAAATGGATAATGTATTCTCAAGGGATGAGAAGCAAAAATAAAGAAGTTTTTGGGATGTGTAGAAAAATAAAAAAAATAAACTAGTATATTGTTTTGTTTGCAGGCAAAACTAACTGCAACTGTGTAGAATTGAAAATATTAATTTTTTTTTCTTCATGTATTATACTAAATACATGTCAGAAAATGATAAATTATCAATTATAAACTATTTTTGGGTTAAAGTTATCCAAATATATTTAGAATTAATATATAGAATTCATTTTATAATTTGTGTCTCAAAAATTTTATCAATTGGCATCAAATATCAAAAGTCAGAGGAAATTCTTTCAGACCTCAGGCACAATAATTTAGAAATAAGTTACTTTTTTAATCCTAAGCTTTGAACGTGAAAATGTGTCATACATGCAAAGCAACTTTGTTGTTTAAAAGTTAGAAACAATACAATATTTATTCACTTATCAGTAGTGTTATGCAACAATACTGTATAATGTGTACACTTTTCCAGATTTGTTATTCCAGACAATTCAGTTTTGTTTTACATGCTTATAAGCTGTTCATGACAATGTTGAGACCATAAGTGTTGTACCTGGTGTTACAAACATAACATAAACATAAAATAACACAAATTAGAAAAAGAATATTTATAGTTTATTTGAAATTAATATTTTCCTCATCTGAAAATGTATTTCCAATAGATACTCCCCTCCTCACACAAATAGCGTCTTTCCTCTTGAGAGATCTCTATCAGAGATTTGTAAGCCACCAGCCTTGTCAAAACTTTCACCTAATCTCATGTTTGTTTGTAGTTAAGCATAAAGCTACACAATGGGCTGTCTGTGCTCTGCCCACCACGGGTATCGAAACCCAGTTTCTAGAGTTGTAAGTCCTCAGACATATCACTGTGCCACAGGGTGTAGAAAACATGAATTCATCATACAGTAGAACCCTCCACCGATAGGAGTGTGACATTGTCCTGCCCAGTGACTTCCTCTACATATGCACTAGTTAATCCTATTGCTTTGATGAGTCAATGAATAAATGTGCACTGGAAAAGTGGGGAGGATGGGTGGAAAAGTTTGCAGAGGTGAACATCTATCTGAAATACATTTTCAGGTAAGAAAAATGTTAACTTCAAAAATGAATACTCACTTCTCTACACAAGTAGCTAGAATTCCACAGTGAGATGGTGGAGGAACCACTGTGAAAATTACCTTGATGTGCTCCCTTCAGAAAGCGTCTGAAGGAAGCATATGGGGTGTGACACCCTATGGCTGGGGATCCATAGGGGCACACCCATGGGAGACCACATCTCAACTCATCCGAGGGTATACTCTTCCCCTTTGTAGAATAATAGAAGAGGCAGGAAAGGTGAATGTGTCTCACAAGGATGAGCAGAATAGGTACATGGCCATCCGAGAATTTGCAGACAAGCTGTTGGCCAAGTAATATGTGTAGTAAGTTTGGGTCTAATTCAGACTGTACCTTGTGTGCTTACCTCCTCTACCAACAGATTTGATGGGTCAAAACCAACTGAGGGAGAAGGGCATTTGTAATAAGTATCCATGCTCACCTCCTCTACCATCAATCTCTACAGGTCCTATGCCTGTATGCAATCATGTCTGTATGGATACTTATATAAACTTCTACTCAAGCATCAGTCACTACAGGCCCCTTAACTGCTGTAGGAGTTAGATATGTGAGTGTTATATCATGGTGCATATATGTTCACCTCAACATTACCATCAGTCTCTACATGCCCCATGCCAGCTGTGGGAGCAGATATGTTTTTTGCCAGTACTGTATGAAATGGACCAGTAATAAAGTCAATTTGTAGATTGTGATGTATCACAGTTAGACATGTTGGGTGACCCACACTACACTCTGGTGTCACCAAAGCCCCACTTCTCACCATAAATGGACCCATTGTTCTAGTCCCAGAAGTTAGGTTCCAATTGGTGAGGATTCTCCATAATCCACCACCCTAGCAGTTGGAAGCTAGTAAGTGACAAAGGTCTTCCTTGCTCCACTCAATAAGGGGAGGAGAAGGAGAGAATGTACGTAGGGGAGACCCAAATAATGTGCCTAGATCCCTATCGGTTTCTCTAGAAAGGTCTTTTACTGGAGACAATGGAACAGGTGACCATGAAACCCTATATTTAAGTAAGAGAAGTGGGTAGAAACTACTCCATGGCTGGTTTTTTCCATGATAGTCCATGGAATGGGTACGGTCTGGATTGAACATCTAATCTTAGATATGGAAATACCATGGGGAAACCTCAAGTGGTCTTGCAGAACACCCTATCTCACAGTGGGCACCTGTAGAGCCAGGATGGATAGTACGAGTACTTTCAATTATCCTGACTCAATGCAGAATTTTGGATAAGTGTACCATGGGAGGCAACCCTAGCACGTATGTGGATCCTAGAGTAAATAAGTAGTGAGTAGGAAAATGTGATGAAAATGATGAAATGTTTAATGATGAAAATGGATTGAAGGATGACTATGTGCAGATGTCTAAACTTCTACAGAGATGAAACAGCAAGGTGGAGTATACAGTTGGCAATGAAGAGTTGAGTGGTAGTCCACATGCCAGACTGGAGAAAAGCATCAAAGATTGGTGAAAAAGAGTAGCTAGAGAATGTGGAAGATGATGAATATAATGAAAAGAGACATCAAAAAGCTTAGGTTCATCCACCCCCAAAGAGGTATAGAGCAGATGGAATGATCAAGCAGATTCATCTTGAAGGGTGGAAGGAGAGAAAAACCCAGGTATAGAAATGGACCCAAGGAGTGAAAGGATAGTAACTGGAACCCTAGAAGAGGAACAGCCCAGAAAAAATCCAGGAGTTTGTCTGTTACCAAACGAGCAGAGAGAAGTGATATAGCCCTTTTGAGGCAACTTTCAGAACCTATGGGTCCACAGCATAGAACCTCCAAACTTGGACCCTAACCCGAGAATATAGTCACCGTCGTTGAAGGGGAGAGCAAGATAGAGGGATGAGAACAGGCTGGTGGGATAAATTAGAGGTCAAGGATGATAGGGAGGTATGCAAATGGACTGAATCAACCCTAGTCTATAAAGAGTTGGGGGTTCCCCCAAACACCTTTTGATGCAAAAAAGGTGTCATGCACAAGTCACACAACGAGGTGTGAGGTAAACAAACCCTAGATAATATGGCATCCCTACCTAGAAGATCCCAACAACAAAGCAGCTACATCTGTAATGCCAGGGTTGAAAAATAAAAGCATGCCATGGTGACAAAAAAGGAGATTCCGAGTTTCATATGAAAACTCTTGAGGGGAACAATGAAAAGCCTCAGATAAAAAGTGAAGGGAGGATAAAGAACGGAGAAAGGTGGTTAGGGTAAGAATAATAGGGAAAAACTGACCAAAGTATTGGGGGTTGAACCCCACAAAGGGTTAAGTGACTCCTAATGCTGTGAGTCTAAAGAAGGAAAGTCACAATGATGATAAGCAAAAGCAGGATCATCCATAGAACGAGGGAGTCAATGCATACTGATCCCCAAATGCAGTTGCTCCCCAAAACAACTTGCATGAATCCCAATATTAACCTAAAGGCTCATCCCTGAGAAAGGCAAGGGTGGAACCATAGGAAACAGGAAATAAGGACAGAACATAACATACCTAAGCAATCAATCTCTCAGAAGGTGAAGGAGGTCTGGGCAATTCCCCTTAAACAGCACGTGACAGACAGGCATACTCAAGGGGAGGAAAAAGGCTGTTCAAATCCTCTTTTTCCCAATCAATCAAACCCTGAGCAGGTACAATAGGACCATTATTAGTGTGTTCTGAATGCTGTATGAAACTGATCAATTCCCAATGCACCACAGCCATCACTTCCTGAGCCAATAATCGTGGTTCCCAACCCCATGGATGTTGTCGGTAAATCCACTGCAGCAGTAACAGCAGTTTTAGTCATGACCACCTGAAACTGAGAGTGCATAACTTTCGAAAATGAAGTAGGAGAGAAGAGAAAAAAAAATTAACTCTCCACATAGAACAAAAACGGGAAATAAATGTATAATATAGAAAAGAATTCTGAAAAATAAGAAAGTAAAAACTTTTGCATATGTTAACCATGAGCAAAAACATGTCTACACAAGAAGACTGCCAATTGAGAAGTGGTTAACAGCTGCAACGTTAGAGGGGGCACTAGTTAGGATAGGGGTAATGTCACACTCCTAGTGGTAGAGGGTTGCTGCATAATCATTTGCACGTTAGTATGCAGATATCTCATATTAACATACGTGAGGGTACGTGGGAGTACAAAGGCTAGTGGAGAGTGAAAATTTGCATTGACAGAGAGCAGTATAAGTCAAGAAAAGCTTTCTGTGAAAGGAGGCAAGATATTGTGTTGGAAGTATTTGTAATATTTCAAAATGATACATAAAAAATTCAATTTTGCAACAAGTCATTAATTATATATCTGTTTCTTCTACTCACTCTGACTTTGGTCTTGTCTCCATTCACATTAGAAATATGGAATAAAACACCATCAAAATCAGCAACTGTCACATCTACAGATTCAGGCTTATTTCTAAATACAAGAAATATAAATTAATGAAACAACAAAACAATAGGTTAGATAAACTACTTACATTCACTAAATATACTATTTTTATATCATTTTTACTACATCATTAAATTGCTTTTACATCAACATTGAACTAGATATTTCACCAAACAAATCCTATACAGTAAGATCATAGACTTTAATTGCATGAATTCACTTATTAACCCTTATTATTATCATAGGCCACATGCATATTTCTGTATAATGTGGCACTGTATATTTTCACAGCTATAAAGATAACCAAAGACTATTTCTAAAGGGCAAAATTCATCACTTAAACTTTACTATTACTACAGCTGAAGTCAACATGAAATGCTCAAAAAATACCCTTATACCAAAGAACAAAACAACCTCTGATCATACACTTGTAAAAAATGTTCAGACTTGTAAGATTTTATTCCACTTCTACCATTTAAAATTATACACTTCAGGATTTGATATGTATCTCAATTCTTCTATTACAATACATATCATGATACAAATGACTACGTTAATTTGCTAGAATAGCAAACACAGAATAATCAATATTGCATTTATGAAGAAAAAATAAATTTTTTTCTTAAAATGTAGCTGATTATCATCTGATACATTAACTTTATAGCAAAAAATATCAAAGGCAATGTTTAATATTTTCTCCTCTATGAAATTTTTGTGTCTATTTTATAAGCTATTTTAGGAGCTATAATCACATACTAGGTTACTTATATATGTGTGCATGTTTGTTTAAGTGCACTTGTTTTTAACCTTTTAAGGTACTGTTAACTCTCTCACTATGTTATCCCAAATTGACCATTAGAGTTGCCATACTGTAACTTTTAATATATTTTGTGTATCTTCATAAAATCTTGCAAGCTTTCAGTAAACATTACAGGTCTTTTGTACACAAAAAATTAATTTTTTAAATTTAATATTCCTACTAAACATTTGTCTGAATATATGGAGTCAAGTCTTGACTGTTCCGAGTGCAAAGTGATTTTCATGTTAAGATTAAAAATACTTTTCTTCACCTGGAAATTGTAAAATTTCATTTACATAATCGTTAAGGCCTCCGAAATAAACAAACTTTTTTTATGTAAAACTTTATATTTTACTTGTTCTTTTTTAAACCATATCTGTATATACATTTGATCAATTTGAACAACTTCGTAACCACCATAAAAAAAAAATGAAATAAATTTAAATTAGCTTATTTTCTTTCAAGAATGACTACATAGCTCAAGTTACCATATTGAATTACGTAACATATGAGCTCCTCGCAAGCATACCTCTTGGAAAATTATCATCCATTTTCTTACCTTATCTAACCCAACAAGTTTCTAATTCTTCTATGTTACTTACTTTCATAATATCAAATAAATAATATACATGAAAAACAAAAAAACTGTTACTTACCCATGTTTTTGTTTTTTGCTGTTGACTGTTGATGAAAGTTAAGCTTTTTTTTTAAATTAATGGTACTAGTACACCTAAGAACACAGAATAATAATATGCACAAAACAATGTCCTATAACTATCATAATTTACCTGGCTTTCTAACTATGCAAAAGGAGCCTTTAAAATTTTAGCTAAGCTTGTTGATGTGAATACCATGAGAGAAATTTTCAAACCGGAGACAAAATAGACAATACTCTGTACAGAAAACAACACAGTATAATACTTCATTTGATAAATTAAAACTTTGCCTTTCTCTAGGTTTTAAAAAATATAGTACAAAATATCAGAGAAAACTATTGGCAACTGAGGAAAGACAGGATGTGACAGGTGAGCATAGCAAGTGGACCTGACTTTCTAGCTTACGTCTCCATACAAAAATAAGATTGAAGGTTATAAAAATTAAACTTTGTCTTTATTAATATTTATATTATAATGAATAATTCCCATTAAATTCTGTACTTCTCAGAAGGGTGGTAAATAAATTAGAGAAGAGGATTAAGGATTTTTAAAAATATTTCCTTATAAAATTAAAACTTATATAATATTAAAATTTGATATATTAGCTATGTTTTGATGCCAAGGTTATTCATATACAATGATAATAAAGTGGTATAATTAAAGTTTGAATACACTTCTCTTAAAAAGTCGTGACTTATCCATAGTGAGAGGGTTAATAAACAGTAAGTACTTTCAAAAGTTAGTGTTCTTTTTGTGGCTGATATAAAATGTTTCTTTCTTTGGAAATTAAGGTAATTGCCACATATTTAATCTCTCTCTCTACTGACAGGTCAAACGGTACATGTCATGATGTTTAGGAAGTTATTTTCTACATTATTATCAATGTACATGAATAAACTTGGCATCAAAATGTAGTTAATAAATCAAATCTTAATACTATACAAGTTTAATTTCTTAGTTTTGTAAGGAAATATTTAAAAAAATCCTCAATCTCTCCAAGCATAAGTTTGTTTGTTTTAGAGAAAAAACACACTGGGCTATTTGCTGTGTCCACTGTGGGGAATCAAATTCTAGATTTTAGTGTTGTTAGTCCATAGACTTACTGCTATTCCACTGAAGAACCTTCTAGTATGAGAATTGTGACATTTATTCTCTTGGTCTCCTGTCTTCTTCAATTTATGTACCACCCCCTCTCTAAAGTATACAATTTAACATAAATTACTCATTATAATATAGTTATTACTAAAGCCAGTCTAATTTTTATAGCCTTCAATCTATGGAAACATAGACTAGAAACTCAGACCCACTTGCTATGCTCACCTGTCACATCCTCTCTTTCACCAGTTGCCAATAATTCTCTCTGACATTTTATATTATTTATAACCAACATAAAGGAAAAGCTTTGATCTATCAAATTACATTACTTTTAGTACAGAGAACTGTCTATTTTGTCTTCAGTTTGAAAGCATCTCTTACAGTTTTCTGATGAAAAGGCTTTGGGCATTATTTTAAGTCTGTTGTGAAATAGTTAGAAAGCCAGTTAAATTATGATAGTTATAGGACATTGTTTACTTCACGAGTTTTATTATTCTGGGTTCTCAAGCACGTTATTTAAGTAAATAAAGATTATTTTGTGTGCTAGCACCATTAGTATATAAAGTAGGCTTAAATTTAATCAGCAATTGATAGGAGAAATACAAGAAGTTAAAAATAAGAACTGTAATTTTTGTTTTTCATGTATATCATTTATTTATTATTATAAAGTAACTAGAATGTAAAAATTAAAAATACATTAGGTTAGATAGCTAGAATATGTAAGATAATGAAAAATCAGAAGAAAAAATTCTTGACCAGGTATGCTCACAAGCATTGAAAGCGGTAATATAAGCTACACAATTGACAGGTGAATTACAACTTGTGTGGCAGGATAATTAGTAAGACGTAGTTCAAAGGACAATAAAATTAGTATAAACAGATTAAGACTGTTATGAGGTTTAAGGTATTTAAGATAAATAAATGTAGTTTCATGTTACAATCTGCAATTATTCCAGAAATAAAAAAATGGTAATTTAGATTTATTCCACACTTTTTTTATGGTAGTTACAAGGTTAGTCAAATCAACAGAGTCTGTATAGTTAGGATAGAGAAAATAAGATAAAAGAATAAAAAAAATTTATTGAAAAAAAAAAATGTTTGATATTTATTTAGGAGGTTTTTAGAGGTTATGCAAATGAAATTTGAAAGTTTTCAGATGAAGAAAAGTACTTTTAACATGAAAATTACTTTGCACTCAGAGCAGTCAACACTCTGACTCCATATATCAACAGACAAATCTTTAGTAAAAATAATTAAGAAATTCAAATTCTTGGATAGTAAATACTTGTAATTTTACTGATAGCTTGCCATATTTTGTGAAGATACACAATCATGTTAAAAGTTATTCATGATGTTAGAAAAACATGTAGGTTCAAG